GAGCTTTTAATCCCAAAACGCCCGCTTTGCTGCGCTTGAACTTATTTATTACGTATTTTGTAGCTCTAGAGCCTAATCTCAAGTTACTCGAAGCACTCGCTTGCGTGCGCTTTTACTATTTATTGTAAACAGTTCTAATATTATATTATTACTTTATGTTGCTCTTTAAACTTTGATTATAACAATTATTTTTTTTATCATGATATTAATTATAAGTGTATTTATTTAATACATAAAAGCACTTCAAAAACTTTGAATTAGGATCTTAAAATGTTAATGACTTAATAAATAAATACTTCAATGCATTAAAAGCATGGCTAATCGAACGCTTTAGATAACTTGGCCTTAGCATACGCTCTGAAAATTATAAATACTAAGTAAATAAAATAAAAGCGCACACAAGCGAGTGCTTCAAGTAATTTAGGATTAATTTGTTAAAATGTCAAATATTCAATAAATAAATAAAAGGGCGGTCAAACGGGCGTTTAGGGACACTAGCGATAACATGCTAGAGATGTGGATTGTTTGCTTTATAAAAGAATCAAGTGTATCAGTAACCGCATCAGGTTATTCAGTATGAGCTGCTGGAAATTCTGTTTATTTATTGAATAAACAGAAGTGCAGGCGGTAAAGTGTATTGCGTAGGTAACAATAAATTTCTTCACGGGCTTTTATGGAGAGGTAGTCGTGTACTCACTGTCAAAGACGCTTATTCTCATAAAATTAGTTTAATTTTCTATAGATTTTCGAAGAAAACTAATATTCTACAGCTGACTATATTAAGAAGCATTGTTTCAAATTACAGAAGGCCTAGCTTTATAGTTTATGAGATGTTGTAATGTAAAGTAGCATATTTTTCCAAAAGTTTGATGAAAACGAAGAAGACAGAACAGATGACTAGACTCGAACTGCGCATGCACGAATATATTCACTCATAAAAATTCATTATTACGGAAAGAGAAGGGTGTACAATCAGCTTGAATCTTGTTACCACAAATTTTTAACACGTATTGTACCACGATAACCCCCTTACTGTATTTGATGTGGGGTTTGCATGAAGTACCAGTCAAAAGTCTACATAACTTAGCTCAATTTTGTTAAAACATGAGTACTAAACAGTATTATACAATGAGTGTCATACAAAATGTAGGTCGCAAAAAAATAAATCCTTACAGTTTTCATGTTTTGATTTGGAAACTTCGTAATTCATTAGAAAAAGTAATATTTATTACCAGTGTATAAAGGCTTGCGAAATTCCTGACAAAACATTCACTAAGCATATTTAGTTTACCTTATCTTTTTATTTTGTTGACAGATATTTTTTTTGTAATAATAATACTTTCGAATATAGCCTTGTATATATACATAAATCCGAACGTACGTGTATAATAGTATTTATTAATATGTATTTATAAACAGATTAAACGACTTCTAGTTTCTCTATGAAAATTCTTAGTATTCGCTGAGAAAAGTAGTTTTAAAAAAAGTATTATAACCATACTTAAAATTACTTTACTTTTAGGAAAGCTTAGACATACTCACCTGATGACACAATTATTACGTTAAAAGTAATTTTTAATGTATTTTAAATAATTTTTATGGAGCCGTAGCACTGCAGAAATTATTACACGGCATAATAAAAATCACTATGCCTAACATAGTTAAAATTGTGATAGTATAATTTTTGCTTTACAACACAGTAAATTTCAGTGTTATAGTTTTTAAATGTCCCACTTCAAAAGTGGAAATTGGTACGTGACGTAGTAAAATTTCTTGTTTTACTGCATTGCTATCCAGTGTAATAAAAATTACCATGTTCAAAAGTAATTTTGTGCGATGTCTATAGGTGTATACGCCTATTAAGTTTCAAATTTGAGGTTATACGAATGTAATTATGAAAAGAAACAAATTTTTTTCTTTATGAGGGTTAAAAATTGATGCGTGCAGACAATTAATTTCGAATATACTAATTATCCGTTGTTAATACATTGGTCCACATAAAACCCTATGATTTTTAACTTTATTGTGTGTATGATAAACAGTACACACTCCCACATGTACTTTACCCATACTCGCGAGGACATCATATTCCGTGGTCTAGTGGTTGCGGAGCCAGATACGGAAACCAAAGGACGGAGGCTAAATTTCTGGCCGCTGCAGATCTTTTTTAAATAAATAATATATCCTAAATTTATCAGTGTCTGTATACAATAAGAAAAAAAATATATATTTACTTAAACCTATGTTATATAATGGTCTCCTGTTTAACATATATATTCTCTGGGGAATATATATGATACATATATATTTTTTTTTACTTTATATGAATATTCTTTCTGCGTAAAGTAAAAATGACTATGGTAAAATATCAAATTTAAACATAATTTGGTTTTACTATGTTTGGTAAATGTCTAGTAATTCATGTTTAGTAAAATTATAAATCTTTAAACATTAGTAGTAAGTAAGGTTGCTAGAAAAATAATTTTCGTATGATTGAAAATCAATGTGTACAATTATTTGCTTATTTATTTCATAATTTAGAACCTATTAATTTGAGTTGTTGTTAATGCTTAATAAACGTTTAAAAAAATTTTTTTTAATTACAAATATTGTAATAACCAAAAAAAATGTATTTATAAATTTATAAATCAGACTCGGGGAATTGACCCCACGATCTCTACGACTAAAAGTAAGTAAGAGCTCCCCTGCTCTGCTATAAGCAATCTGATATGTTACGACAATATGATTACATCCGTTTTTTGGCATACCCCTGTGCTCATGACAACGTCTGGACCTTACTTCGACTAAAAAAAAATGTTTTATTTATTCTTTAATTGATTATTATACTATTCTTATTTTAGTATAAAGGTATACATTTCGGCCTATACTCACTATATTTCTGTTTATAAATTGTTGATTTATCGGATTTATGGCAAATACTCCGTCGAAAGATAGAAATGATTGGCTTGTTGCAGTTTGGCAACGCTGCAAAAGATGAAGAAT